AGCAAGGAATGATGATGAACCACTACAATCCTCTACTGATCATTCCACTACACAATCAGGTAATAATGGTATATTATACATGTATGTATTACAATATTACAAATACATACATGTACATACTTTTATAGCTCTTTCTCGTGATACATTGTATTCTGGAATGATGTACTATGAAAAGAAAGAAGTTGGTTATTGGAAAGCTATGTATTCTGTTGTTAGAGATCTGGAAGTTCTTAAAACGGTAAAGCATGCACATACATATAATACATATATATGCTAACACATTCAAATTTGATTAATCATTTTGATTTATGTTCATGTAGTATTTAGAAAGCAAGCAGGCATCAAGTATTGAATATGATGATGTTGTTGACTCATTTAAATTTATTGAGCTAAACGGAACTCTTAAATTGACACTGCTTCAGACTGTACAGCAGGTAGGATGGACTGTTATTCCTGATAGAGATCCAATGCAAGTAAGTACTTTCAATAAAGTATATAGTAAAGACTATTCCTTTATACAGTTGCTTCAGTCAAGAGTTGACCTGTTCCCGTCAAATCCCTCTTATGCAACTTGTAGTGTGTCTGTGTATGCTAAACCTGGTATTGCTAAAGATCCACTTTGTTGTCCTGTGAAATTAAATGGAATTAATCCTGAAACTACAATTTGCATCAATCGATCACCTCCTCCTCTATCAATAAGTCAGTTAAACTTACATGTATATATCTGATTATAATTCATTATATTAATTTTATTTGTGTAGTAGACAGTACGAGCTCAAGCTCCTCTACTGCTAGTATCAGTCAAACCAGGAGAGAGACTGAAGAAGGTATGGTTGATATTAACATAATAACACACTAATCACTGAATTTGTATCATTAATAGGTACATTTAGATCTGATATTGCTCATAGAGTAATGACAGGATGTACTTCATTAATAAAGAATTGCGGGATTGATATTTATTTCTTAGTTGACAAGTTACTGGAACACAATATTATCAATGCAAGAGAGAAAAGAGAAATAACTGATGGCTACACTAAACACACTGCTGGTGAAAGAATGGATGAATTGCTCCACATCATTTCAAGCTCCATTAGTATGGAAGGAGAAGTATTTGGTATATTTTTAGATATACTCAGAGAAGAAGGTACTAGAAGGACTATTAAGCTAGCTGATAAACTATTAGAAAAATATAATAATATTTAGATAATGTTTATTGTTGTTGTTGTTTTGTTTGTAGCTGATTTTATCAAAGCAATTGCTTTAAAAAATTAGAAAATAAAATACAGAAAAATGTAAAATATACTTAAGTATCTCTTCATTGATGTACATGTATATGTACAGTTGTCATAGCAACAGTCATTTTCCTCAGCAACACTACTGATCTAGTTGTTAGAGTAATTCTTCTATAGAAAGTAGAAGGAGGAAGAGAGAGAGGATCAAGAGAGAAAGAATGGAATGACATCATGAGAAGTAACATGACTTACATTGGGTACCCCATAAGAACAGTAACAGTATACCATAACCTAATGATAACAATAAACAATGTACCATGTAATAAGTAAAAGAAAATGCATGTAAACATGTACATGTACAGTACATGGATGCACGTAGCCTTTGATTTTTTCAAATTTGGCTCAGTTTTTTTAATTCTCAAATTCTTATAACTTGAAAATTATCAGCTCAAATCTTCTACATAGCATAAGGACATCGATATGTTTCAGAAAATATAATAAAAATTGGGGGTGATTTCGGAGCCATTTTTTACAAATAAGTATGGGCTATATGGGTATTTTTCAAAATTTGGCTTATTTCTAAAAATGCTCATAACTCGAAAATTATTTGTCAGAAACAGTTCAAATTTTCTAAACAGCATAAGGACATTTCCTGATACATATCAGGAAATGTAATAAAAATTGGGGGTGATTTTGGAGCCATTTTCTACAAAAAAGCATGGGCTATGGCCTTGGGTATTTTTCAGAAAATGGCTGTTTTTTAAAAATGCTCATAACTCAAAAATTATTTGTCGGAAACAGCTCAAATGTTCTACATAGCATAAGGACATCAATATGTATCAGAAAATGTAATAAAAATTGAGGGTAATTTCTTAGCTGTTTTTAGAAAAAAGCATGGCCTATAGCCTTGGGTATTTTTCAGAAAATGGCTGTTTTTTAAAAATGCTCATAACTTGTAAAATATTTGTCAGAATAAGCTCAAATTTTCTACATAGCTAAAAACATCAATACGTATCAGAAAATGTGATAAAAATGGCGATTGATTGAGAAGCCAGTATAAAATTAAAAATAAAATCATAAACTCACTATATTATTATTTCCTCCTGACACCAGTTGCTGATGATTTGGTGACCAGTGAATCCCACAGACCTCCTGGGTGTGGTCTAATAGTCTCCTGGTAGACGTGGGTCCCACTGCAATATTGACCCACTACATAGTCACCAGTCCATGACAGGGAACCTCTGAGAGAGAGTGTAATTCAATTTAATATTTTGTGCTTTATTCACAAAATAGACTTCAAAATATTTATTACTAATTTTAATACATAAACATGTCAAATTTGTATTAAATACATGTAATGTACATGTACATTGTATTCTCATGCTGTGTAAAATGTTTAAGCTAATTCTCATCACTAAATTTTGGAGCTACGTGTGTACAACTACTTGAGGATCTAATTGTGTTTATTATTGCAGTGAAACCCACTGGAGTGAAAGATGCTGAAACATATGCTGGACTGGTTTATTATGAGAAGAAAGAAACTGAAGATTTGGTGACATTCACTGCAGCTAAGAAATTGAGTGCTCTCCTTGAAGTAAGCTTTAATTATGAGTACAATTAATAATAGTAATTTCTTATACATGTAGTTTATTACAAGTGAAAACTCTTTTGCTGAAAGAGGACAAAATGTTTATTTTTCATTCAATTCTTCCTATTCATATATTGAATTGAAGTTTGATGCACCACAAGATGAGCCATTCACTGGTTGGAGTATTAAGCCTCACCTTAAGCCTTGTAGAGTAAGTACTGCAATATAATGTATAACTGATGGTTGGTATGTGTACATTGATAGTTGCGTCGTTATGATGTTGATAATTTTGGTGAAGCTAATTATCCTCTTCCTCCATGTTGTCTGGTATCAGTCTATGGATCACCTGGTGCTGTACCATCACTACATTACTCTGTACCACTGGATGGAGTGGCTGATCCTGTTACATTATTCATTCACCGATCACTGAGAACATTGTCCCTACCAGGTATTAAATGTAATACTAGCATTCATTATTATATGATATCATTTGTAGCAATTCCAGTAAATCCAAGTCCCCTACCAGTGCCGAGAAAAAGAGAACAAGGTAAATTGTTCATGTGGTTGCTGTGACAAAACATGATACATGTGTAAATTATTATTTCTAGGTCTCGATTTAGTTTCTATTAAAAAAAAGGTTACAGCAAGTTCATACAAGGAATCGAGTTGATTTGAGCCAAGCTTTTAATCTTTCTCTACCCAGCATATTCAATGAAATGGCTCAAGTGGGTATTGTCAGTAATAACACTGAGAAATCCTATGAAGCAATAATTACAAGTCTTAATGTTGGGATGAGTTTTATGAAGAGTTCGTCTGATCTTGAGTCATACTGTGTGAAGTTTCTCAATGGATTATCTAAAGTTGGTGGGCCAGTGGCTCTTGCAGCTGAAACAATATATGAAGAATGGACTGAGGCAAGTGAAGGAGAACTGTTGTTTGATTGCTTAGCAAAAAGAGCCAAAAATATTTAAGTTATAAATTATACATGATGTACTGAAGTTTTTGGGTGAAGACTGGATTGAAATGTTGGGACTTAATTTTAATATTGATACATGATACTAATTTGATTGTCTTCTTATTATTGTTTATTTTAAATAATTTTTTAATTTTGTTTTTCCATTAAAATTAAGAAAACAGTAACACATGATGATAGTGTGCATAATGTGTTATGGTATTATTAATACTTGGGATTCTTTTGATAGTGGAAATAACATCATCTGTATCTTGATATCAAGTGATCTTGAACAATCCTTGTTCTTATAGCAACTGATACTATGACATAATAAACCACCTAATAATAACGAGACACCTACGGTGCATGGCCTCACCCCTATAGCTGCTATGGTGCATGCCCGCACTTCAATAACTGTTTGATTATCAGCATGAAGAGAGTCTGCTCAACACTAGCTTCCTACAGTTGCACTTGCTCTTGAATACCTGCAGAAGTAGCAGCACTGCAGCACATACATGCAAGCAGCTCCAGCCCCTCCCATGCATGTAGATTGAAGGTGTGGCATTTCATGAGTGGCAGCAAGAAGACCATGTGAGAAAGAAGCTTCACTTTTTCTTTACTAATCAGCAATATATGATAAACTTGCTGACAAAAAAAGTTGCTGCCTTTGTATATTTGAGATAGTATAGGTACTTTAGTACCTATAACCCAGCAAGTTGTTGCTCTAGCGCTGCACAAACGAGTGACCTCAACAATTTCAAGTAAGTATAACTCTTCATCAAGTAAGATTTAGAGAAATCTGTTCATAATTTTTGAAGGCCATGTTCTAATCTACTGAAAAATGCTACCAGCTATCTCTAAAGTGCCAACACAACGGAACTTGGCCCAACTACTCGATTTTCTTACTTTGAAGCTTCTGTACCTAGCACTTGTATTTGAGCAACACAAAACAGTTAAGAAAGACTTTTCCACGTCAAAAAGAAAGATCTAGGAGCTTAGAACACGCTGTGCTAAAGTTATTGTTTATTAAAAACAAATTTCAGTTGTACAGAATGAATGAATGAATGACAGACACACACAACAACTACCTATACCTCGCGTAGGCGAGGCCAATAATAATAATAATTATTATTATTAAATCTAATTAATGTATAATAGGAGTGATGTACATGTATATGTACATGTACATACAAACAGACAGACAGTATTTGATATACTGACTTGTCCTTTACCCAATTAATAAATATAGACAGTAATGAATACATTAGTCTTAATACAGACCCACCTGTTTGAACTTGTATGGGTTCATTGAGGAAGAATATCATCCTCTGATGCCAGTGAGTGGGTGTATCTTGAGGACTAGTACTGAAGTACACAGGATAAGAGGAAACCTCAAACCCAATGACAAAGTATCCAACAAGACCCTACAACATTCAAAAAATATTTGTAGGAAACAGCTCAAATTTTGTACATACATGTAGCATAAGGATATCAATATGTATCAGAAATTGTAATCAAAAATTGGGGGTGTTTTAAGAGCCATTTTTTGCAAAAACCAAGGGCTATAGTACAGCGTATTTTTCAGAAAATGGCTGTTTTTAAAAAATGCTCATACAATGTAACTCAAAAAATATTTGTTGGAAACAGCTCAAATTTTCTACACAGCATAAGGACATCAATATGTATCAGTGTTTGAGCTAATTCAGTATAGTGTCAGCAGGTAGTACAACGAAGGAGATATAGCCAACAAATATAGATACTGAATCAACATTCGACAACAGCAAAAAATCAAAAGAGAGGGAGAGAGCAAGAGAGTGTGTGCTTATATTAGAGAATGATGTTCTAGAATGTT